CGAACTGTATATATCAGACTTCAGACTTAAAAAATAATAAAATTAAATACTATAATCCCCACTAACTATATTTCTTATATTTACATATATGATATACAATCTAAGAATAATCATTATCATTATAATCATTATATTTGTTTACTATTAAATAATTTAATATTAAGTAACTAACTAATTGATACCTCCTGTATACGCAACGCAGGAACGACCGGTTTTTGACGCAGTGAAGTGGGCGGTGGCAAGACTCACACCTTTCTTGTTCACTATGAGGTTACTACGTATGTATTGCCGATTTACCGCGTGTTGACCGTGCCAATTGCTGTTTAGTGTTCAATAGTGTTGCGTTAAACATATCTTTGTAGATTAAGGTGTAGCTCATACATATTTAAAAAAAAATTATGTCGGTGGTCTGTGGTACACGGTAAAGTTTTTCATTAAGCTTATGTTGTACCATATTATATCCTTTTTATCATGTATAATATGTTAAATAAATAAATAAATAAAATACATTTCTCTATAAAATTCACTCCATCGCTGCATAACGTCCGATTTTTCTGAGAGGACGTTATTGGTTCTCGAAAGCACTTTGTTCATTCTTAAGGCTGTCGCACCACTCCGGGACCTTCCAACCTCTTTCCAGAAGAGTTTGGAGTTTTCCCTAAAGTTGTGCGACAACCTCTCGTCCGCTTCTATTCTACACCTTTCACGTACTTCCTCAATCAATGTTTTCGCATGAACTTTCTGCAGCTTATATCTTTCTTTCATCTTCTCTCTCATATGCTTATCGTTACTAGAGGCCAAGTAGTCTAACCATGCTTTTTTCTTCTTTTTTACAGCTTCTCTCACTTCATCATTCCACCATGCATCTCTTCTTTTACTACTACCTCTTTTTGTCGTACCACATACTTCTTCCGCTGCACTTACCATTCCATCCCTAAGGTTCTGCCATGTTCTCTCCACAAATTCTTTCCTGCCATCGATGGTGTCAAACTTTTCGGCTACCCTCGTGTGATATTTGTCCCTAGTATCCGCTTCCTGAAGCTTCCAGCTTCGGATGCGACAGACCGACTGTGGTTCTGTTACAGCATTTTAGCAAATATCTTCTGGGGCGAAAATTTCACTTACGAACTGACCATGCTGCACTAAAATGACTATTGCAGTTTAAAAATCCAGAAGGACAAGTTGCGAGGTGGATTGAACTACTGCAGGAATACGACTTTGAGATCGAACATCGCAGCGGGAAATCTCATGGCAACGCAGATGCATTATCACGAAGACCTTGTCCTGAAGATTGCAAACATTGTACTAGGCAAGAGAGTAAGGAAGTGGTATCCGTGAGGATGCTCAGGGCAGACCACCTCAGCAACGAGTGGAAGGACAGCTTTCAACGTGCACAGCAGGAAGATCCGGACATCAAGACGATCCTGGAATGGATGAAGGCCAGTGGTCCCAAGCCTAAGTGGAGCGACGTCTCAGCAATGAGTTCAACCACTAAAAGCTATTGGGCCCAGTGGGACAGCTTGCTGCTTCAGGATGGAGTTCTGTGCCTTAAATGGGAAAATGTTCGGGGAGACAGCTGTCATTTACAAATGGTTGTCCCTAAAACTAAAGTACCGGATGTTCTACAGCTGTACCATAATGATTATTCAGGAGGCCATCTGGGAGTTAAACGAACTCTACTGAAGATCCGAGAACGGTTTTACTGGGTCCACTGTCGAACGATGTCGAGGACTGGTGTCGCAAATGTACAAGTTGTGCGGCTGTAAAGGGACCTCAGACTCGTAGTAGAGGTGCATTGAAGTTGTACAATGTGGGTGCACCATGGGAGAGAATAACCATTGACGTGGCGGGGCCGTTTTCGGAGAGTGAAAGTGGTAACAAGTATTTCATGGTTGTGATGGATTACTTCACTAAGTGGCCAGAAGTCTTCGCCATTCCAAATCAAGAAGCTTCAACAGTTGCAGATAAACTAGTTCATGAAGTCTTCTGTCGTTTTGGAGTACCTTTAGAGATTCACAGCGATCAAGGAAGGAATTTTGAGTCTCAAATATTTCAGGAAACTTGCCGAGTTATGGGTACTCATAAAACAAGAACGACTTCTTATCACCCGCAATCTGATGGAATGGTGGAACGATTTAATCAGACATTGGAGAGGTACCTAGCAAAAGTTGTAGACAATCGGCAACGAGATTGGGACAAGCACATACAACCGTTTTTGTTGTCATATCGAAGTTCTGTTCACGAAAGTACAGCAGTGACACCAGCTTTCGCAAACTTTGGAAGAGAATTACGGCTGCCTGCGGACCTGATCACCGGGATACCACCTGATGCCCCACGCAGTATAACCGATTATGCAAATGACTTGCGGAACAAAATGAATGACATTTATGAGCACGTCAGACAATCGGGCCAGCAAATGTCTGAGAAAATGAAAACCCGGTACGCCCGCAAAATGAACAATAAAGGGTTCAACGAAGGTTCATTAGTGTGGTTGCACAATCCAGTCCACAGCAAAGAGAAATCTTCTAAGCTTCAAGCTAAATGGGACGGCCCGTACCGGATTGTAACCAGGATCAACGATGTGACCTACCGGATACAGAAAGGCGCAAGAGGACTCCTAAGATCGTCCATGTGGATCGCTTGGCGCGTTATTATGGGACCGATAATGCTCGGGACGAGCATGTCTTAGGAGGGGCAGTGTTGCATGAATAAGTCAACTAGCGCCATCTAGTGTCAGGAACGAGAGCGAGGGGAGCTTTGCAGTAAATGACATCACAAATCTTTCGACCGACAGCGCCACCCGAAGAACTAAGTTTCTGGAAAATCCACACTCGAATACTCGTTGCCTGGCGCGCATTTACTTGAATGTTCGGGACGCTTCTTTGCTAATTATATAAATAGGCGCTGCAAGATGCGATCGGGGCAGAGTTGAACTCGGCAACACAAGCGAAGCTTCGGAGCGGAATTAAGTGAATTAGTGTGTTTAATTATTAGTGTTTTTAGTTTTAATTTGTGTAAAGTAAATTAAAGTGTTAATTTAGGTAATTTTATCGGCAATTTTTATTGTCACGAACCTCAAGCTCGTAACAATAATGTGCGCAAATATAACATTTAACATACTCCAAGTGAAGTTGTTTTTATAACTTTACATATTTTCACTGACTGACTAAACTCTTCTGTGAACGACTCGATGTTTAATATTTCATTCTTACCAGCTAACATTCATTAATATTTGATCGCAACTGTTATTATACTTTATATTACCTTTCCACCACCTTATTGACGTCTACCTCTATTGGTAGTAACAGCTAGTTTTGCCAGGTGTCCCGATTTGCGCGGGACGTCCTGATTTTCAGGGGTCTGGGGACGCTTCCCGATTCGGACCTGGTCGGGACGCTAAATGTCACGACAAATCAAAAAATGAAAAAGAATCCAAATTCCAATGAAAAAATCATTTTAATAAAACAATTTACATAAATACTTATTTTTTTTTGAAGTGCGTTAATAAGTACGATTTTATTTTAAAATTTCTACTAGTCCAGCAAGACTGATTACTTGCTATGTAAGATTAAATATGTAAGTATTTAATTTAGGTAATATAATACTGTACTTGCACTAGTAGTTTAAAACGCAATAAATTAAACCCTGATTTAAAAACACCTCGTTTTTCGTTTGTCCCGATCTGCAACCCTAAATCCCGATTTTTTGACCTCATGTACCGATTTAAAACAAATCGGACCTGGCACCACTAGTAACAGCTAATTAAATTCAATTATTTTTAATTATTAACTATAGATTTTTATTAAATATTAATGTCACCAATCCAACTGCGATAATCTGTAAGAGGTGCTCTATCCAGCAGTAGAATGGTGATGGGTTGTACTGATGACTGGGATATCAATTATTATTATTGAATATATGAATAACTTTTATAGGCATCTGTTTTGAAACTTGGTTTACCTACTTTTTTTAAATCTGTGTAATTGTGTATTATATTTACTCCCTTACATCTTAGGAATATTATTCCAATATATAGATATTACGCATAATAGTTTAATAGTAACATTTAGTGAAATTACAAATTTTAATAATCAAAACTTCTTTTTGTAATGACTCTTCACATCCATGTGGTTACCTTCTTTTTACACCATTCCATTTACATACTTACACTAACGTATAACATACATATTTTTTTTTATTTTTCCGTTTTATCGTTTACCTATAGACACAGAGTTAATAATCAGATTAAATACTTAAATATTAGATGTATTAGATACATATGTATAAATACTCGTACAGATGTATTTTAATTTTAATTAATTATTTTGAAAAAAGTCCCCTTTGGCATAAAAGCCATAAATAACCCTATGGACTTTTATTCAAATTTAGGTCTAGGACGGATCCTGATTTCGTTACTCATCAATATATTTATAATTGATTTGGGCCGAAATTATATTCTACATAATTTTCAATAAGAGATACCTATAGCAAAAATAAATTTTGGACCTGCATTCAGCAGTAATAAGCATCAGAATTAGCTTACCATGGCACACGATGTTACTAAGAACTTATTTACTTAACTACAATTATTTTTGAGATTAGGTTCGTTAAAGTGGCGGAAATTGGATTAAGTAATACATATAAGCATACAGATTAATTTGGGATAAGTTATTTTTTGTTTTCCTTACCTCTCTTATTCAAATGTTGAGACTAGAACTCTTTGATTCAGAGATATTTCTTACAATTACTGAGTTAAACTTAGACACAGAGACTTATGTACATGTGCAGTAGAATATTATATACCTAAGTACTAATTTTAAAAACCCTGCAACGAGCAGTCGGAGAGAAGAATTAAAAATATAATTAGAAGGAGACCACAGGTGTGGAAATAAATTCTTATTTGGTTGGACCACTTAGAATGTATACAACACTTACGAGCTATTTATAACGAACTTATATGTACTTATATAAAGTACAATAAACATGATACGTAACGTTTTTTAATTGGCTAGGAATCCGTTTATCAAATCCTCTAAATATTTTATACGTATTTTCAATGCCTTTACCATCTTTTCCAATTCATCATGAGAACTTTCGAGGTGATTCACACGTTCCTCATAATCAGCAAAGGAACTGTAAATGTCATTTACCGAGGAAATATCTCTGCGGGATCGATGCTTTTCACCTTCCTCATCTTCACCGCAACTATCGCAATCTGCCCAATAACGTAAATCCATTGATGGCAAATCATCGCATGAAATTAACCCATCTTGAATTTCTGGTAATAAGAAAACATTTTCACCAATAGTATCAATATTGTCTCCATTATCGCACAGAATTCTAGCTAAGCTCATTTCCTTAATTTGTTTTAATTGTTGTGGTTTGAAGTTCGTAGGGTTTTCATACCAAAAACGATCCCCATCTCTTAAGCGCTGGAACTGTTCTATCAAAATGCATCTGAACAAGGGTCCAATTTTTCCTCCCTCTACTTGATCTTCTAATATACCCCCCACAAATACGTCAATATTATGAACGGACCCATAGAGTTCCTCGAGCTTATCTCTGACATTTTTGTCTGATATTTCAGTTGCTAAATCGTCAAATGTGTTAACTTCGGTCATATTACAAAAGTCTCGAAATTTGGTATAAGGAGGTAAACCGTGGTCACGCCCTCTTTGGATATTAATCGCAGCCAGATCGAGAGCTACAGCATGTGCAGTATGGAACAACTGCTCAGTGAGTTCAGAATTGAGATTTTGCGTAGGAGTTTTTAATTTTGCAGGTGTTGTGAACATACCTCTCAGCAAAGGATCTACGCCTCCTTCGTCGACAAGCCTCCATGGAGAGAAAAAAGCGTAACGCAATAATAAATGGCCTTGAGGTATTTGCTCAAAGTTTTCGTCGTAGCGATGAAGAACGGGATTAATCATGGTATGACCGAATCTTAGAGCTGCCGTGGCGAAGACATTAGAAATAGACGGATTAATTTTGGAGTTATATCCTTTGTATTTGCCCAATTGTTGAACACCTTCGGGGCCAAGAACCAGCGATAACCAGTGTTTGTAAGTAATGAATTGTATTTCGGCACCTACAATTTTGCGAGCTTCCTGATAAACTCTGTCTCCATCCCAGAATGGATTAATAGCTTTAAGCTTAGTAGCAATCCGATTGTGTTCTCGCATAAAAATTGTATGCATTGCTGCCAGTCCGATTTGTTCATTAGCCCTAATATCACCTGCTACAAAGCAATTGCGATTACTTTCGTCTAAATTACGTCTGCAGTCCATGCCATTAATACCAATTGTAGGCAACAATGGTTTTCGTCCTGGGAAAGTAGCCCCTACACGCAATAATCCACTGTCATTAGTTAAATCTCGCAAATTTTCGGCTACAGCTTTCTCAAAACCATATACTTGAGAAGCGTCAATAAAGGAAGTTAGTTGGTTTATTTGTTCTCTTGGTTGCAATTTTCCAAACAGCACGGAAGTCATTCCGGAACCACAAACTGAGCTTGTCCTTATGAAATCAATGCAACGACGGTTACTAATACGTGGATCCCTTCGGGTACATCAATAGGAAAACATGGTGCAGCATAATCGCAAGTCTTCTTACAATCTACACCATCCCAGGTTTGTGAGCTCACCGATGGAAGCGCATGATCCAAATAATGATCTAACCATTGCCCCCATTGCGTTACCATATGAATGATTTCGATGTCTTGAGATATTTCTTTAGTAGAAATGATAGCGGTCGATACGAGCCGCGCACTCGGCAAAGTATAACCATTATATGTAATGTTTTTATTCCAGCCAACTGGATGACTAAATCCATTTTCGTATATAGGAAAAAGTATTCTGCGAAAAGCACTTAAAGAAGTGCCCCAAGTAGGATGATCAAAGTTGTTACAGATGCCATCTACACTTCGATATTTTATATGGAAGCACATGTCTGAACAGTCCTTCTCTTCCCTATTTGCCACGCAACCTGATAGGCGAGCAATGACCTCTAAATGTTGTGCCGAAACTACTTGTTCATAATTAAATGGATCAGCTGAAGTAATCTTTAGTCCTGATTGTATGAAACCTCTAACTTTCTCTAAAGTCCTTTCATATATTTCCGCAGCTCGTGCAACCTCTCTTGCGGGAGCGTTAGGAAATCGTGAGATCCTATACAAATCAAGCAAGTTGACTTTGGAGTTATCGTTTTTAAATAATTGTTCCATAGTTCTAGAAATAGCTTGATCAACATCTCGTGTCGCTTCCGTCAAAGCTATATTGACATATTCGTCGCCTGGTAGAATGTGATCCTTAACTGTCAAAAATACCGAGACGGTGTCTCGGCCATATTCGTTAAAAGCTGAGCATTCATAGCGACCTGAATCGGTGATGGTGATATTGTTAATAATTAAGCTTCCAATTATCGAAATAGAAATTCTATCATTTGGCTCTAGTCGTGATCCATCTTTTCTCCATTCTATTGTAGCTGGTGGTTCTGCATCCACTTCACAAGGCATTTGAACCGAAGTCTCCTTAAATGCATCTGTATCTTCCGGTTTTAAAATTATTTTAGGTGGTATGATTTGAGCTTCGTCTACTTTCAGAATTGCAGATATTTCAGTTAGTCCTTCAGAGTTTTCTGCTCTACAATGATATAATCCATCATCATCGGTCGTTACCTGAAGTATTGTTAAGTTTTCATTGTTATCGGAAAAAATGATGTTTTCGCTTGATGGCAATACCATTGTATTCCTATACCAGGTAATTACCGCTTTTGGTGCTCCTCTTGCTGTACATCTAAATACAGCAGTTTCTCCTATAGTTACAACTTGATCTTGTGGAACAGTGATAAAAGCGGGAGCAACTGAAACAATAATATCAATGAAGAATTTTTAGTAAGAAATACCCTAAAACTATTTATTTATAAAACAAGTGACATCCGATCTTACAGTCCACCTGATGATAAGTGGCTTCTGTAGTCCATGGAAAACTACAAGTAATTAAAAAAAGAAGGCTTTAGATGCATTGCCATGTACAACTAAAATTGTATAACCGAGTTGTTTCAAATTTAAATTCTAATTCATTTATTTGTCAGAATGTAGGTGTTCAATAAAGTATGATCTTATATCTAATGACCTATTTACATTCTACCTCTACATATTATGTTACATGTTTGTGGAAGAAAACAATGCAGTATTACTCATACACTGCTTTAAATCTGGGTACCTATTGTGGAAGGAGGAGTTCTACAAGCAAGTAGATGGTGTGGTAAAGGGGCTCACCTGTATCTCCCATTGTTGCCGACATATTTGTGGCAGACTGAGGAGAAAGCCCTACTTGCTTTTCCCGCACAAGCGGCACATAGACGATACTTTCACAATTCTACCATTTAATAAAGTACATAACTCCATTTTTAGACCATCATAACGCCAAAAATTCTAAAATTCAGTCCACAATGGAGTTAGTGTCAAACAATTTTTTAGATGTGTTAGTAATTCGGAATCTTGATATCACTAGCCACACTGTGTATAGAAAAAAGACACATACAGACAAATATTTGAATAGTGATTTACATCACCATCCTTCACAGTTAGCTACCGTGGGTAAATATTTGTTTCAGAGAGCACAAGGAATCTATGAATAAACACCTGGTCACCGAGCTCAAGCACGTCTAGCAAGTTTTGCATGACAACAAGCACCGGGTCCCGCGCCTACGTCACAGTGACCGAGTGATGCCGGCCACAGACGAGCGTGTGTCTGTTATACTGCCGTGTGATAGAGGTGTCACTGAAAAGAGTGGCTACATCTTGAAGCGTGCTTCCATTAAAACATACTTCAAAGCGCTGAAAAAGATTAGTCAGATTTTACCATCAGTCAAGTGTAATGTGCTGCAAGATGCAGGATTGTGAATTGTGGTCTTTCTTACATAGGACAATCTAATTTATCAATAAAAACTCGCGTTAATGAACTCATAGCTGATGTGAAGAATCCACAAGTTTGCAGTCTGTGAACACGTACAAGATCTTCCCCCGTCAATACATCAAATTTGATAGACCACGATTCCTTGCTAAAGGACATCGATTCTTTCCAAGGATGATTCGCGAGGCTATTGAAATCAAAAAAGATCCTAATTGAATAGAGAAAATGGCTGGGTGCTACCATCTGCTTGGGATCCTATAATTATTAAAATTAAATCTCAACCCATGCATACAACTGCAAGATTTCAAGATACTAGCAGCCCTATTAATAAACACAGACTTGATCGAGATTAACTTTACTCCTAGTTTAAAGCTTAAAATATCTAATTTCAGTATTAATAAACATAGAGTAAGGAGGGAGTAAACTAATCCGAATCTACTCTCGGAATAAAAGTTAATTCTTGGCGGTACCTAGTTTAACGACTGAGTAAGCATAGACTAGTCGCGTATTTTGACATTTTGTAAAACTTTACGTTGTTGAATTCATAAGTTGTGAGCACTAGTAACAAAAACAGCATAATGGATTAAAATGCCAAGAAGTGATGTGGAATCGAACACTGATTGCAGGTTTTTATTCATTATATGAATTTAGACAAGTGATTGGGGCTATTGATCGCCCCATATTCTAATCCCGAAAGTCGCTGGAAACATCGGACAATACTACATAAACAGGAAAGGATACAATTCAATAAATGTATAAGTAAGTTTTATAGCACCTAGCTAGCCCATCTTTGCCATATACGTACTTAGTTATTTTCTTAGATTCAATACAATCAGCTCAATTTATTATTTCATATTAAAGACGTTACGAGTGCTTTGTTCCAGGTTGTGTCAAATGCAAATTTAGAGTTCATGAATTCAGTGGCATGGCACATTGGTAAGGTAGCACACATGACTCAAGAATATTTAATGAAAGTCGCATTAAAACAAACTTTTGGGCAGTCAGAATTTAAAGGAAGACTTCTCGGAGTTTCTGGTTATGCTTGTACTCCTTATTTATTCACTCCTATCTTGCGTCCTAATAAACAAAAGGAAGGAATGTACAACTGGTCGCACATATGGGCCCTCAGTGGCGAAGCTAGGGCTCCAAACTAGGGCAAGCCTAAGATATGGTTTTGTTGTTTTTAGCAGTTTAATAAAAATACACCAATCTTGAGCTGTCTCCACTCTTTAGTTTCATATTCAGTGCTGACAAGGACGTTTTTAACAAAGCACACAAAAAACATACTACCGCTAGATAGATTGTATGACATAATATGCAATTGCACACCTTCGGTGGTTTTGAAAAGAGCCGTTTGGGTTTGCTTGAGATATTTACAAACAATACAATACATGAACAAAGTACAAACAAACTATGTAAAGTTAAAAAAGGGACGCCTGGCAGATGTAAAACCTCGAAATTATATTTTGTTTAAGTTATATGCATAAAAGAACAGATTACGACAGGAATTAGATAGTTATAATGAGAAGATAAAGCTTTGCTAATTTTTTACCATAAAATAATGACTATTATAATTATAATTATTCATTTTCAATTCATAATAAACCGTACAAAATGATATTTTTAAACTCATATATCACTATAAATTAGCCGATAGCGTGTTTGTGCCATCTAGCGTAATCTTTAGGTACCATCGTGAGAATCAAAGAATTTTCGTTCGATAAAATGACTTTACCTATAGAATTAAGTAGATGGCGCATTAAAAAGAAGGGGAAAAAAAAAAGAAAAAGAAATAAAGGAAAGAAACAAAAAAAAAATAAAAAAAAAAAAAAAAAAAAGAGCGCAAAATTAATACGAGAAAGGGCCCGCTACCACTTCGCTAGTCGCTAACGCACTCCTAAACAACTTCATGGCAAAGCCAGGGTTGTTGGCTCAATAGTAATTGCTATATAAAGATTTCGTAGCTATATTTCATTACAGAATATTTTGCCGTAGGTTAGAAAGAGAGCGATCGTCTTCTCGAAAGCCCCGTAAAAAGCCCACGCGAGCGAGGGAGACAAGTAATTGCTCTATTAAAACTCACTTTATGACAGCAGCAGTATCGCCACAGAGTACCTTTGTATAAACGTATTGCTAAGGCAATACGAGGTCATCGGTCAACATGTGTCCAACAGTGGAGTGCGCGGGAAAATTGAAATAATTTGAAACAGTTTAGGAGTTATTTTATTAGTTGATATTATTGATTGATTCAGTTTTAATAAGGCAAGCCCGGCCTTTCGGCTTTAATGGAAGCATCGCCACAGTGGGCCCTATTTATCCCCAAGAAACAAAACAAAAATGGTTATTTAAATAATTTTGCCCTTCACGCTATTTTCTTAATTCTAAAATTTCGTTACAAATAATATTAAAATGATTATATTTAGAACTTAGTTTTTCCACCAAGTCCGAAAACAACACGAGGAACAAGGAAAAACACGTAACACTTATCTCTTGTCAAACTCAAAATATTGCCTGTCACTGTCATTAATGTCATCATCAAGCATTGAGTTCATTCACTAGTCATTCACTGACTCAGTCCTTTTACTTTTAAAATATGTTTAATCCAAAGGTAAGGAATGTAGGTATAGTTAGTCCGAGGTTACTCCATGTTTATTAATAACATTGTAATAACGAAGTAAATAGTCAGTTACTCTGAGATTTGCTAGTCCAAGTGTAACTTCGAATTAAGCTTGGAATAAGCAATTTTTATTAATAAGACAGTATAAGTTCATACTGCGTAGACGGAAAAAAAAATGAATAGTTTTAATCCGGAGGTAGCCGTGGTTCACTATGACATTGAGACGTCGAACAGTCGAACACCTCAGTTCTCCCGGTGACCATGGGTGTTGTAAAATGCGTGAAAGATCGGAAATATAAAATAAGTTAATATACGCTACAAAATCCGTAGAAACTTGTTTTATAAAAATGTGTAGGGTCCGCGTAAGTAAGTAGTAAGAAATCATTAATTGTACTTAATTGTTAATGTTCCTTTCATGGTTATTTACCATAAATTAATTATTAGTTATATACCAATATTACTGATGTAAAATTTATTTTTCACAATAAGACAAAAAATTATGAGGTCGTAAAACATTTTTCTTTTAACCATTGTCAATCCTGTATACGACCAATATATAATATACGACTAATATCTTATATACGACCAATATTATCCAGATCCTAGAAACTAGCGAATATGCAGACTGCACCAAAAAGGTAGCCGTTTCGACGCCGCAAACTATCGCAAGATTGTGTTGTATTTTACTGTATTGTATATTGGTACTATGTATATTGAACATCCATCTCATCGTATGGATTTCGCTAAAATCGGTCAACAAATAAAATTCACTTATATGAAACGATGCCCTCGAAGACATTGAGAAAGCACATACTGTTTCCCTTAATGTCTTGAGGGCCTTTGTAAAGGGTTGGTACGCTAGCTTTTTGTCAAACTTACAGCGTATGGTTAATCCCGTGGTCTGACCGAGAAGGCCTTTCTGAGTGGTCTGCCGCTCTGAGTCGTCGTCGAGGGCTGTTCGTTCGAGCTCTCTTCCTGCTGCATATTATTATCTATCCCGGTATCTATGGGTATGCAGACGACAGTATAGTTGTAGAAAGACACCAGCATAATGGTTGGGCCAGTCGGGATCAAATCCAGCCAGAAAGAGAAACTATCGTTGTTTATGTAGTACAAAGCTAAAGCTGCCGCAAGGAAAATAGGTGCCCTTGCAAATGTGCGGTAGTACATAACGCCAGGAATTTTTACCCTTAATAAGTTTGTAAGTCCGTTTATCCATGGAGTACTGTACTGACATGTACTTCATGAATGAACGGACTTACAACTTACGTAATCCATGAATATTTATGTTTTTTAGTAACCTAGATTTAGTTAGAATGAATTTTGGTCAGCCTCGTGAACAGACGCTTACCAGTCTCTCGGTGCTCTATAGGATACATGTAGAAGTGTGCGCAGAAATTACACGATTTAGTTGAAATATCGAGAACAAAGGGGTAACCCCTTTTTTGTCGATTTTCCACAAATTCTAACCAAATTACAATTGCCGGCGTCTGTTTTACCATCTGATCATGACCTTGGTGTCTTCAAAGTAAGAGGGCTTTTGTTATGCTAAGGTATTGGAATTTATCACATTGTGTTTCGTATGGTGAGTGTAGAGAACAGGAGACCCTTTTGACTGGAAACAGGGCTTTCCATCTTAGTCCTCACGGGTGACAAAGCATCTGCATTTTGATTCAAAATCGAGTATTGATGTAGATGTCTATGGGCCACAGCAACTACTTACTTACGATCAGGTGGAGTGTGTGCTCGTTTGTCATCCTTATACTTGGTTTATAATAAGTAAGAAAAATCTTACCCATAACTTCAAGAACCGCTTCAGCTGTAATTTTTCCGTTTAGATTTTCGGCATGGCAAGTATATTGTCCTGCATCCGTTTGTTGTATTTTTTCAATTACAATTGATCCGCTGTGATGCATCGTTATGCGGTCAGTCAACAAAATTCTTGCTCGGTTGAAGTACCATAGTATATGAGGTGCAGGATTTCCTTTAACAACACAGTCAAATCTGACAATTTCGTTCAGTCTAGTAATTTGATCGCGTGGTAGAATAGTAAATACAGGGTAACCTATAAAATAAATAAGAATTAGTGATTGCATTAACAAGGTACGCAAATTGAATAAATTTTTGTGTAATCTCAAACTACCATTTTCGTCCGGTTTGCTATGCATGATCATCTTTGCCGGTTTCGACCGTGCTTCTCCTGCAGGATTTTTCGCTTTACATTCAAATATTCCTACGTCGTTCTCATCAGCGGCATGCACCATAAGTGTACCGTTATCCATGACTACATAGCGATGTGTATCAAGCGGCACGCTAGTAGAATCTCGCAACCACTCAATTTCTGGAGTTGGCTCTCCAGAAACTACACAGGTAAACATGGCATCATCGCCGAAGTTCACTATTACGTCTTGAGGGTCTTTCATGATTTCCGGTCGTTCTGAATTTTAAAAGCATCATCAATGGTTAAATTAAAAAAATTGGCAATGCAATAACAAACTTAAATCAATGACAATTTCATTATACATTAGTTGCAATGGTGGTAAGTATTGGTGGCGTAAGAGATTCCACTACCCCATAGCGACCCGTTGGTTACGTAAAAGGCGATAGAGGCAAACATAACAAGCGATGGGCAGCTGCATCAAAAATGTGATTGCCAATGCATATGACAAGCGTGACATCTATGGCCAAAATCCTCCCATAAGGTAATCTACAGGGAAGCCTGTATTCTGCAGTGGATTTTGATAAGCTGTATGATGATGATAACGGTCGCGTGGTGGCGACTTAAGAAAGATGATAATTTCTGCGCGTTTCCTTGATAATATAATAGACAGTATAATCATCTCGTATATAATATTTGAAGTGAAATGCCAAGACCGGCTTTGGGGTTCAATCTTTCCCCTCCCCTTATGATTTCTGATGAGATTTTTGACAGGCCAATGAAAGCTACTTACTTATCCTCGGTCACAACGTTTAGGTAACATAGTAACATAAACTAATTGCGCATAGCCAAGTAGGTGGGTGGTCTGAAAAGATTTCGACCTAACAAAGATACAAGACATATTTTCTTAAAATATGTCTTGTACGAAACGATGCTCCCATCTCCCTAACCCGTCCAAATAGCACTGGCGTTTTTCTCTGCAAAATAATTGTTCATAACGGTGATTGCCTCCTCATTTGACGAAAATCTCTGTCCTCCGAGCGCAATTTTTAGATGAGGAATCAAAAAGAAGTTGCTTGGGGTTAGTTCTGGTAAGGCGGATGGTCAAGCAGTTCAACTTCATTCAATCGTAATATGTTGATTTTCGCCATGGCAACCGCTGAGGTATGAGACGGCACGTTGTCATGGTGAAACAGGATTTTCATTTTCTGCAAATGTGGCCGCAATTTTCCGCAATTTCTGCCTTCAGTTTGTCAAGTAATCACGCGTAGTATGCTCCTCTAATAGTTTTTCTTTTTTGAAGATAAACGATTAAGATAACTCTATCGACCACAACTAGTCAGATTTTTTAATGATAATCTTGAACATTAATCAAAAGTCTAAAATGTGTACATTTATTTAGTCTGTCAACACAGCGAATCGGGTTTGGCGATGCCAAACCTCGTACAAAATAAAGTTGACAGCCATTCTATTGTGTATTATAGTATTCTATGATTATTACTGTGTTGTGTATCTTATACTTGTTTTATTTTACCTTTTAGGAAAATATGCCATTTAAATTGTGGAAACCTTAGAGAAAGGGAATATTAATTTTTCATTGTACCAAGTTTGTGGGAATCAAAAGGCGTTTTAAGACGGCAAAAAAGCGATTAGATGCTAACAAATTAATTAAGAATGAAAATTGTATGCCTTTACACAGTTGGACCCCTTCACGGAGTCGTGTGAAAGGGCTATCTAGGTATATCGTCATTTGAAGAAGCAGAAAGAGAACTAGACTATTAACAGAAGCGACACCGACATCGATGATGAGATAAAAAGACAAAACACTATAGTACAAGTAATACCAACTATGAAAACAATGTTTAATGGTTTTGCTACAGAACCTTTTTTGTAAGACGTCGACGGGATTGTCGCTTGACTGTTGTTTATCTGATTTATTAAATTATTTCTATATTATTCAGTATCATTTTTATTTCGTTGACAATTTATATATATATATATATATATATATATATATATATATATATATATATATATATATATATACTTTTTAATACTTCTAATTAATATTTTCCTTTTTTCCACATATTGATAACAAATTAATTTGTTCACTAGCACAATATATCAAACACGCAATTGAATATGCAAAATAGGCGATATTCTATCACTTATACAGACTTAATCTGTACTATAGCTGTTATTTTTTTTTAGTTTTATATCACTTTCATAGACAGAAGTTATAAAACTATTGTATTTACAGGAGTGTACAATTACGACATAAGAATAAGTTTTAGAAGGGAGTTTGCATACACCATTGTTCAGAAATAATATTTGAATGATACTATAATAACACTTAGAGCTGTAATAAGCAAGTGATTGCATGCATAAAATAGCTTCTATACAGCGTTAATGATAAAGTCAGATTATAGTGTTACAAAATACTTATAGTTGTATAGTAATGTTTTCATATTCTGGTTAAGAACCCTAAGCTTACTTAGATCCCAAAATAGCTTGAGCTGTATAGTAACTCATAAACCACTCTTATAAGTATACAATCTCTTGTCGACACTCTTATACGTCTCTAAGTGTGAGCTGGTGTATTGATGTTTATAACGCTTGTGTGCTGCTTGGGGTTTTTGGTCTAACGTGAGCAATCGTGGTACCCAATGCTCTGATAGCTATCTCATGCCTAAATCATAACTTAATATGTGACAAACGCATTCTTTAGACATTTTCATGACCTCTGCTATCTCTCTCACTTTAATTCGCGGTCGTCTAGCACCATTGGTGAACTTTAGCGATGTAATTGTCAGTAGTTGTAGTTTTTGGACGTCCCGAACGTTTATCGTCCCGTAAGCTCTCACGGCCACGTTTAAATACAGCTGCCCGAAATTTCACTTTGTTAAATGATGGTTCAGTGTACGTATAGCCTTTGAAAAACAAAAAAAAAATATGACAGCTTGATACAATTTTTTTCCATTTTCACAATAACACTCACATTGACTAACTCAAACAATTGTCAACAAAATAAATAACAAATGGTTGAAATTTTGGCGCGTAACTGTCAAAAGATACACAGCTACATTCACTTGCTTTTATTGAGGAATGCTGCCATCTTCACGTTGAGGTCGAAAGCTTTTCAGACCATCCTGGCATCTAAACCCGGCATGTGTTATGAAAAAATTGCTTTATTAATTTTCTTAAATTACAATTAAATATATTTTGCGGGTTGGTGGCTCTACTAAAAGGAGTGACGACCTGCACACGATATGTCTCAACATGCAGGAAGTCGGTGGATGCAGGTGGCGCCGGACCGTGTTTTGTGATGATTGGTTAGGGTTATGTTCAGCAGTGAACTTGCAAAGGTCTGTAACGATGCTGATAATGAGGATAAAAAAATCTTTAATTCTTCCCATGAGTATCACACAAGGCGACTTAGCGAAATGCCTGAGGGATCATGTTGGTAATATAATAATCTCCTTAATTATAGCAGTTATGAAACTGCTGACCGGCAACGAAAAGCAGTGTTATAAGTACGAGGGAATGGATACTAATCCGCTTTTTTGTTGGAACCTTTAGACACATGATAAGCGTAAGTACTTTATAAGTTCGCATTTTAAAATGTTTAGGGATAATTTTTCAATCACCTTAATAAGTTATTTACACGATGAAATAATGCATAAACAAATTAAATACTACAGACGTATGAATAACATAGTTCAATAGTGTCACTTTTATAATCAGGTAATAATTTATTTGATGTAAGTGTAACATTTATCTATCGGAACGAAAAATCAGTCCTTAGTTGTTTATCGTTTTTAGTAACTTTCTTCATTAAATATCAAAAAATTTACAAATAATGACAAACATGTGGATGAAAACGTAAGCGTTTAATTATTATATCAACTCACGACAGTGGAAATCGTGCTCCTTCATAGTGGCTAAAGAGGCGCCGGTAGCACTTGCTGGCTCATAACAAGTTGCTGCAATCTCCATGGCACGGTGTTACGATAGCATGCGGACAAACCAAAGCATCGAACAATCACAAATTAGAGCATTGCTGTCTAAACGTAGCTTGCGTAGGTTCTCCAAGCCTCGGAATGAGCCAGGCGGGATTCTCTTCAAGTGATTGTTGTGTAAATACCTGAAACAAATATTTAATGAATAAGAGCTTATATTCAGATGCCTTAACATAAACACATCAAACATAATCTAGGAATGTTTTATATTTCATCAAATATTTAAAAATCTATAAAAATGTTCTGATATAGTACATGGAAGAATGATAGGTTATTTTAAGATATTTAATAAAAAATTAAAAACATTTCGCAATTTTATTCGTTTTAAATTAAAATGTTTATTTTTTAATGGCCGTAGAAAATTAGTATGATAAAAATTTTTATTCCTTCTTATAAAACTATTAATTTTTTATTAAAATTGAAAATATCTTATAAAATTTAATGAACCAGGGAATGGACAGGACAAAGTTCACTAGGCCTTACACTAGCGGGGCAGCATGGAAGAGGCTGATAGCAGCTGAGATAAGAGCCGAAGAGGCCTTCTCTCTTTGCAAGAAGCTTGGGATGAGATTCCTTTGTCCAAACTTCCCCGGGTTCCGAAGGCGAAAAGACGCAGTCAGTTTGTGGAGGATCCCCCTAAGACCAGACCAGGAAATCTGTGAAGCTGGCAACAGGGGAGAAGAAGCCCAGATTCAGTGGCGTAGCTAGCTCCGCGCGTGTAGGAATTCGCAATTCGAGTCCTATGAGCGTGGAGTAGATGCGGCTATTCCACCGGGCTAACACAGGCTATCGCTAAAACGACCTGTAGAGTTATGCTAATCAACTTGTGATCATTAGGAGGGACTTTTGCCAAAGTACTTTATCATTAATCAAAGAAAGAGCCCTAACCATCATAAATAACTGGTGTAGGGATAACAGTTTATCAGTTAATGTTGGTAAAACTGTTATAGTACCCTTTACCAAAAAGAGACGGTTGGACAAATTAGTCACACCAAAACTTACTTTTTTGGCCAAAACGCATTTTGAAGTAGACTGCGGCGCTCATACGCTAAAACTATTGATTTTACTAAACAAATTTATTGCATAGGAAATTTTCTGTAGTTTAATTTATTATAAAATGTTTTTTCGTAAAATGAGTCGGATATTATAGTCCAAAAACTGCTTTTTTTGGAGCCATTTTTCCAATATGGTGACGCGAGTTGGAAATAATACGAGTGGCAAAGTGTAAATCGAAAAGAGCACATCAAAATCTATGAAATCACAAATTTTCAAAACTTCCGGAAAATTTTCCAGATAAGCTCTATTGTCGGCACTAAATAACTGTACTATTAGTCAGGTTATAGTTTATTCGATGACTAACTTTGTTCTGACGATTGAATAATAGCCCTAAATTAGATACCTATTTCTTGTGTAATGTTTCACTTACAATCTCTCAAGTCGTGGCAGGTGTGAGAAGGTTTCAGGCTCGATTTGGTGTATTTCGTTGGCGTGTAAATATCTGAAAACAAAGCAGTAATTAGTATATTGGTATATTAAAAATAACGTAAATAATAAGCGTGTTGTGCCAGATATATGACAGAACTAATTTTCTAGTAATTTTGGAGTACGTCTGGGTGAGCACCACTCTCTTAACTTATTCTATTGTCACAAACATTGCTGCGTACAATGCTGTGTTTTGTCTGAAGGTTTTAGAGAGGCAGTATTATTGTAGGTTGAAAGGCAGTATCTTTTTCTAATGTTTAATGTAATAATAATTTCTTTGTTTAACGAATGTTGCAGGTGTCCAAGGGCTGCAGTAGCCACTTTCCATTACGTGGACTGTTGGTTCGCTTCTTACTTTAACTTTGAAAAAAATTACAAAAATAAAACATAAACAAGTGAAATTATTTAAAGGAATTAAAAAACTTATGACGTTTTTGAAATATCACGAATTTGAGCTGTATTTACCAGCAACAGCTATCAGCTAGTAATTACTTTTTAGATAAAATTTGTAAAATACGAATTCAGACATCTCTTTCAGTTTGCGGGAATAATATCTGTGATGAATGAAGTTATTTTAATTCTGAGAATTCATTGAAGTCTTTTTCGTCAACATGGATACGTTGAAAATTCCAGTAATTGTGGAATACGAGTATCGTCATGTCAGCAACGCGGCACAAGCGGCATGCAACATCAGCGACGTTTACGGAGCGAATACTGCAAACGAACGCACCATGTATTATTTTTTCCCCGCTTCCGTTCTGGAAATTTCGACCCGAAAAATTAACCCCGTGGTCGTTTGAAAACTTTGATCGACAATGACGAATTAAACGACGATTGTGGAAGCTGATGATAATTTATCTACGGCTGAACGAGCAGCAGCTTTCGACGTTAGCATCAAAACAATATTGGTCCATTTACCTCAAATAGGCAAGGTAATAAAGCATTACGCCAACGCGCACTGTTAAACAGGTACACAAACGAAGGAATTCTGAACCTGTATATAGAATAGATTATTTTTGACAATCGCAAGTGATCAGCAAGTTGGTTGGATCCTGGTTGAGCACCTAAGCAATATTATAAACGAAAACTTAACCCTACTGCGTGATGATCGCTGTTTGGTAGTATAGCGCCGATGTGAATCATAACAGCTTCTCACCAATCGAGGTGAGCATTACTGCAGTATTACTGTGAAGAACTGAATACAATGATGGAGAAGATCGCACGTCTCCAACCAGATTCGGTCAATCACTCATCCCCGCTGCTTCTGCACGATAACACGCGATCTCATACTGCACAACAGGCGGTCTCCAAGTTACAACGGGCTGGTGTTGGGAGCTCTCCGTCATCCGCCGTACTCAACATACTTTGCGCCTACAGGCTTCTACTTTTTCCTGAAATTAAATATCTTTTTGGCGGGAACAAAATTCAATACCCGAGAGGCGGTACGAAATGCCTTTGAAGAATTTGTTGCCATTGTAAAGCCTTTCTTCAAGAAAGGAATCAAAAAAACTGCCACTGCGTTTGCAAAGATGCATCGATTGCGTGGGTGATTACTTTGTAATCATTCATCATCAATTAATATAAATAAAAAGTAAGGAAAAAATTACATTAACTTATTTCATAAAAACGGCAATTTCATAGGTAAAGGCCTAATATTAATAATACTAATGCATCTGTTTGTTTTTATATCCGTAGCATAACACTGAGCAAATATAATATGTAAGTATAATGTTTGCTTAGTGTCATGGACATGACCCGTCGTATATTAATTGCTAGTTTGATAGCTGTGGAAACATGTATAAATATGAATAATATTTTAGTGTAAATGGTTTTGTCAGCCGAATTTTTGTATATGGACAACAATTACGCCCACTTTTAAAAAAATTAAGTAAACAATATAAAGATAAAGACTTAAATGGATTTTAATTTAACTCTTTCAGTGTTCCGCTTCATTATTTTATTGCCAAGGAGTATTAAAATCTGCTAAAATAGTTAACTATTCCTGTAGATGTCATGCTGCTAGCTGCTCAAGGAGTTGCTCATAAGTCACTTCCTCACCGAGAGCTTCCAGAACTGTTAAGGCCTGGTCGTGCAGGCCTAGTGTGAGAGCAGTCATGGCCTGACTTTTATTTCAGCCGTTCGCCTTCATAACAGCCTCGAACTGGATTTTGTAGGCTGATCAGGAAGAAGTCCCGTCAAACGGTGGCACCTTGAACCCACGTAGCGAAGGTACTGAAGCTACTACGGGAGCTGTGGTTCCATCCCCAAGTTTGAGTTCATCCAGCATTTTCTTAACTTGGTTGATTTGGGTCTCAGCTTCTGACAGGCGGTTATCATGTTGAGCAACCTTATCCTTCACCTCTCTTATCTCTTTCCCGAAGGTAGCGTGAAGGTCCTTCATGAGAAGCATCTGTTCTTCCTGGCCGCCCCGCAGCTGCTCTTCCACCCGACGGACCTGTTCCTCCTGTCGGCGAGCCTGTTTCTCCTGTCGGCGAGCCTGTTTCTCCTGTCGGCGAGCCTGTTCCTCCTGTCGGCGAGCCTGTTCCTCCTGTCGCCGAGCCTGTTCCTCCTGGCGGCGAGCCTGTTCCTCCTGCTGCTCTTTCAACAGACGGGCCTGTTCCTCTCGTCCGCGCTGCAGCTGCTCCTGTAGCATCGCCATCAGAGCACCTAAGTTAGGTGCTGAAGGTGTAGGAGCTACTGACGGGCCCGCAGCCTCCGCGGCTGGCAGTTGGCCCTCCGACGTCTGCTGCGTTGCACCACCAAATCTCCTCTGGTCCGTCTCACGCTGGCGTTGACTGCGAGTACGGACACCCTCCGTTTCCTCCTTAGGTAAAATCAGCATGATTTTATCCCACTTCTGACACCAATTGTTACGAGCTTGAGGTTCGTGACAGTAAAAATTGGCGATAAAATTGCCTAAATTAACACTTTAATTTACTTTACACCAATTAAAACTTAAAACACTAATAATCAAACACACTAATTCACTTTATTCCGCTCCGAAGCTTCGCTTGTTTCGCCACTTCAATACTCCTCCATCGCATCTTGCAGCGCCTATTTATTTAAATTAGCAAAGAAGCATCCGGAATATTCAAGTAAATGCGCGCAAAGGGACGAGTGTGCGAGTGTAGATTTTCTAGAAACTTAGTTCTTCGGATGGCGCTGTCGGTTGAGTGATTTGTGATGTCATTTTCTCAATGCTCCCCTCGCTCTCGTTCCTGACACTAGATGGCGCTAGTGTATCGTCGACTTGAGCGCGTAACATTTGATTTTATTGTTTGTCTGCTGATAGGGTCTGGGTGTAAATGTTAGTTGTGTGCGTGTAGTGTTTACAATAAATTGAGCATAGTTCTTGCGTCTCTTGAAATGTACTTAATATATTATACCTATCTGTAAATTCAGTTTCTGGCGAGGAGGCCTCTGGGTGCGTCCACTCTCTTAGCTATTTCTGCAAATCTAAAACTTATTCTACAAACCATTCTAATGGAATCTTAAACTGTATACTTCTGTAGCTATACTGGTTCTCTACACCCTGCAGACTATCCCAGTACAGGCACTGCTATGTGGCGCCAGGAATAGGTAAAATTGTGGCAACTACCTAGACGGTCACTTGGGCAGAAACGAAGTCCTACCACCAAGAAAACGATTATCTTAGCTTTTTTGTATGGTATGTAAAAATGACACGAACTTTGGCCTATTATTTACTTAAAATATTTATGTAAAAAAATCTAACAAAATACGTAATACTCACAGCTGTTCGAGGTGTATCATATCCTGGAACACATCGGAGTCGATATGCTGGATACGATTACGATATAAGTAAAGGTATTTAAGGCGCCGGAACGCAGCTCCCTGAGCTGATTGTCGTTGAGTAGCAAGGAGCGCAAACGGTGCAGGTGGGTAAACACTCCTGGCGCTATGTCGAAGATCTTGTTGAAGCGGACGTCTCTGTAAAGAAAAACAAATGACTGTTGTAGAAATTTAAATAAAGCCAGCGGTAGCCTTATACTATACTCATTAGAAATAAAAATATTTTTAGTTAAAATTCCGTTGTGCTTGTATTCGTAATTATTTTCCTCCTAAACGGTTTAATCGATTTTAATGAATTTTTTTGGGATACTCATGGTGTCCTATAAATGGTTCTTAGCTATAGTTGGACCAGTAGGTGGTGCTGATGTCGTGATCCAAAAAGCAGCGATGTGAAGCTAAGGCGCTACTTTTAAAATAAAATAAAAAGGTTAATGTAACAGTATTTGATACTGGGCAAACGTTAGCAGAGGGAGTTCGCTCCATGCCCAACGAGTGTTGATGCACTTGCGTACCCTGAAAAAAGGTTTTTTTTTCTCAAACAAGTAAGTTTCTTCACGATGTTTTCCTTCACCACCAGCACGTATCAAAACTAACACGTAGTTTATTCTAAAAACTGGTTAATTTAAAAGTTTTTAAATAAAACCAAATATCAAGAAGAGATCTACGAACTGCCAGTGATTTTATCCGAAAGTAATCGAATTTGTTTTTGTAACACTCATTATAACTTGAAACCTTAAAACGAAACAGGTGTTTAAAAAGGATCTTTTGAAAACGTTCGATTCTTTTAATGTGGTTATTGCTAGTGGTAGACCACAGTTAACAACAATTTTCGTGTTTGCTACAAACCAAGATTTTGTAGAATTGTTGTTACCCTATTGAAATCTTTAGACTGTCTCAGAATAAAGTCGTCTATCAAATCTTTATTTGCCATCAAATATTACGCCCACATCTCGAATAAAATCGGTATATCGGTTAGAATTCAGTTTTTTACCCAAGATATTGTAAAAACTCATTAATGGAATTTTTTCCTGTGAAATTTATAAAACTACATTTGCTCGGCAGCATACGGTTTGTTTCACACCATTTAAATAGTATGTCAAGCTTTGTTTGCAGGTCTGTTATGTCGGATTCTTGTTTTAATAAGTTTAGCTATTTTTAAATCGTGTCCGAACAAATATAAAAGTAAAGTAAAGTAAAATTACAGCCTATATACGTCCCACTGCTGGGTACAGGCCTCCCTCATTTCTGAGAGGGTTTTAGGGCAAGGAAGTGTCCGCCGCACTGCCCCAATGCGTGTTGGTGAATTTCACATGTCTTCGAAATAATTTTTTTCTTATTCCTCAGACATGCAGGTTGCCTCACGATGTTTTCCTTCACCGCCGAGCACGTGGTAAATCAGCACTTAAAATTGCAATTAACAATTTCATTGGTGCCGGCAGGGATTGAACCCGGGGTACTCGCGTTCTGTTATAATTTACAGCAAGCGTTAACCATCTGAGCTACCACGGCTCCTTCAAAACAAATATAGCTAAATAAATTTATTATATCATTAATGAACGAAACAAAGTATGAAACCCACAAATTTGAGCCCCGCTGAACATCGCAAATAGCACTGAAAGAGTCCGGACACTCGTCATCAATCACTACTCGGCTAACGTACTAACGTTTCGGTTAGAAAGATAGAATTTACGCTAGCTTACAGATATATATAAGAAATGCCAAAAAGTCGAGTTTTTAACAAGTACTTTAATTTGTACTCTGTACGAAATACAATTGTTTTGTGATGCTGTTTTGGGAAAAAAATTACGGGATAATATATGGAAATGTGATAGTGAAAATTATTGATTAGATTAAAATCATTTTTCTCCATACAATTATCCAAGAAAATTATTATTGCTATCGTGCATTTCACATGCATCGGATACGCTTCCAAACTTTATTTAAAAAATAGTGTTTGTCGTCTACAAGGGACTACTCTTGTTCATCCCATGCAGGTTTCGAGCCTCGGGGTGTTCCCCCATTACCCGGGTAATCCTCACAGCCCATTTCTATGGGCCGGTCCTGGGAGCCGTACATTGTACGACATTGTAGGCAATCTGCTTTGGCGTATTGCGGTAGGTGCTTCCGGAGGATCAGCAGTCTCGAAGCACCGCGGAGTCCCGCGGACAGGGAGTCGACGCAGGGCCAATCCTGCCGACAGGTGTGCGCTCCTGATAGCAGCACTCCGGGCCTCCAGTGCTCCTCCCTGGCTCTAGGTTAAGGCCTGGTGGATTCCTAGGCAGAAGTTGGCGTGTCTCCCGCCTCTGGGAAGGGATCTGCCGAAGGGTCAGCAACCTCCAGGTCCCGCGGAGACGCATCTCGACGAGGAGCCGAAGTCACCAACGGGCGCGCGCTCTCCTAGCAGCACGCCGGGCCTTCGGAGTTCGCTTCCCAGCTTAGTAGGTTATACGCAGCGTTGGGTATGTAACGTCCCGGGAGGGGGAGGGGGTGTCCTCAAGGCTTGACGCAAGCCGAGTTGGCCCCGCGCACCCACTGCGATTCGACGCGCTGTACTTCTCCCACCCGGGCGGGAACCGACGACCGGAGGTCGTGACCGGCTGCTAGCGCAACTCATTTTAAAAAAATGGTCGCTGTTGTCATCTGCATGGGCTTTCCGCCCAGCAGGTATCGGGCCTCACGGTATACCCCCTTTACCCGGACATTCCTCACGGCACACTACAGTTTGCCGGTCCTGAGCGCCTTGATGATAAAAGGCGTTTAATATGTAAGTAGCGACTTTTCGTCGCAGTCGGGTAATTAAGTCAAAAAGGGAGGTTGTCTCAATATTTGTGTTTTACACAAATATTATGTCTAAGTTGGCCTTTATGCGGCAATGTTGAATTTACTCAAATCCCTAATCTGTATAGGGAGGAGTTCTCTTGGATAGGGTCGCCCGTCCGGGGGCCGTGAGTGCAACGGCGCGAAGCCGTTGAGGTGTTCATGTGACCCGCTGTCGGCGCGGTCGAACATATCGCGCGCCAGCCGGACCACGAATTCTTGCAGGCTCTTAATCTTTAGGTTGGCCGCTATGACGTCATTCCGGACGTAGCGACCCGCACCGAATATGGTTCGTAATGACAAGTGCTGCTGGGCCTGTAGTCGCCGCTTCTGTTGATCGATCAGGAGCGCATACCAGGCCGGAGCAGCGTATGTTAGCAGAGGTCTTAAATACATTTTGTAGATGGTCAACTTTGTCGGTAACTTGGATGCCAGGACTGGACGGAGCATCGCCCGCGCACATCGAACTTTGCGGACAACAAAGTCGACGTGTGCAATCATGCGCAACATCCTGTCAATCCGACGTCCAAGGTAGGTCACGGCCTTCTCATATGCGAACTCCTGGCCTCTGAGGGTTAGCGGTGGTGGTAGATTTCTATAGCGGCGAGTGAGTAGAGCGGTCGTCTTGCTAACATTGACGGCCATCCTCCACTCATCCAATCATGGTGGCAACGGGTCCAGCAGACGTTGCATCCTGGCAGTGGAGATATGGGCTCTTCTGGACGAGGTGAAGTAGGCGCTGTCATCCGCAAAAAGCGCCAGCTCGACGTCGTCCTCCCATTCGTGCAGATGCCCTGCCAGGGTAGGGATGTCATTGGTGTAAGCCGCGTACAGGACTGGAGACGGACAGCTGCCCTGTGGCACACCAGCTCTTATGGGTTTTATTGCGGACTCGGCGTCCTCTGCACAGACGTAGAACTTCCTGTCTACGAGGGACACTGGTCTGATCGTCTAACTTGTAGAGTAATCCTGTGTGCCACACCTGTCGAACGCCTTCTCGATGTCGAGAAAGACGCCAACACACTTTGTATGCCAACAATGTGCGGCCGCGGTTGTGCTCGGCCGCAAGCAGGTGCAGCACTCTGTTTGGTGTTGAGTGGTCCCTCCTGAATCCATGCTACTCCGCCCGAAGTTGGATGCACGGGCGGAGACGTCTGAGCAGTATTCTTTCAAACAATTTAACTATATGCGGTAGCAGCGTGATCGGCCTGTAGCTGGCAGCTCTACGCCTGTCCCTCCAGGGTTTCGGCAAGACGATGATTTTGCCTTTCTTCCAGTCCTCCGGGAAGTGGGATGTCCGCAATATGTCATTGTAGAGTCGACCTATCTCTACAAGGACTCTATTGGGCAGCTGTCGTAGTGCAGCGTTGGTAATCCCATCGTGCCCCGGCGCCTTCCTCGGTTGCAGGCGGGTTGCTGACCTCCGCAGTTCAGCGGGGGAGATAAACCACTCTCCTGCAAGCGGTGGCGCGGGCGACGACAGGAACTCCTGCACGCGGCTCTCCTTCCGGGTGTGGTTTTATATGAACTCCGCACTTGCTGGGTTCGACATAAACTGCTCCTCGAAGTGCTCAGCTAGGATATCCGCTCTGCCCTTGGCATCATAACGTTGTTCGCCCGCGTTGTTGGTCAGCGGGCAAACAGGTGGTCGGGTTTTCGTTAACTGCCGGTTCAATGTGTAGAGCGACGCTTGATGTTAGTCAGCCTTCGAAATGCGCCGCTCCCAGGCCTCTCTTCTGTGGGCCTGTATTGCAACCGACAGTTCGTCCGTTAAGGTGTTAAGTTTCGTTTTTATTCTGGGGCAGCGAGTGCGCGCCCAGAGCTTTCTCAGCGCTCTTTTGTGTCTCAGCTGCACGCGTATGTTTAGTGGCAGTTCTTCCTTTCTTCCAGAGAGAGGGACGATCGTAGAGGCCACGTTGAGGGCTTCCTGGATGCTCGTGGTTATTCTGGTAGCAGCAGCCTCTACGTCGTCCGCTGAATGGATTGGTGCGTGGGCTGGAGGTCTCTCCTGCAGTTGTTGGTGGTAGAGCCTCCAGTCGATCTTGGTCTTAACGGCTCTGGGCGGCGAAGTCACTGCCTTAGTCCCAAGGGTATTCAGAATCGGGGAGTGCTGTGTATTTAAGTCGTACAACACCTCTACTACTACCGGGTAGTTGACGTTCCTAGTGAACACGATGTCCAATACATCTGGACGCTTCCTAGTGTCAGTAGGGATGTGCGTCGGTTCCTCGGGACCTAGAACGTCATAGTTCTGGCTTTCTGCATCATCGTATAGTTCACGACCCGGCGGGTTGATCAGTCTTGATCCCCACACCGGGTGTTTGGCGTTCAAGTCCCCGGCGATGATGGTGGGTGTCGTATCTTCCATAACCGTCCGGATGTCTGAGGAGTAGAATGGAGTCCCTAGCGGGCGGTATGCTGCAAAAATCCTTAGTTCCTCACCCGCCGCCTCCAATTTTATGCCGATTGAACGCATCGTCTGGAAGTCTAGGTAGGTCCAGTTCCTGGTAGACGATGTCTCTCCTCACCAGAATCGCTGTCCCTCTGTAAGCGATCCCTTGAGGATTGACCTCGTCCTCCTGTAAATCGTATAGTTTGGCAGCTTAAGATGCGTTGATGGTCTTATTTTGGTTTCACCCAGCAAGATCACCTGGATGTCCTGCTGCTGGGCGACCGTGCGGAGTTCATGGATCCTCTGTCATGTGCACAAGTGTGACGTTTAAAAGTTGTGATTCCACTCTATACCAACCATATCCTATTCTTTTCCTTTTCATATTTAAGTAGAGATTAATTTAAAAAGCGGCGCAGCTATTACCTTAGATCTAGGTAATAGGTCTAGCAAACTGAAAACGATTTAGGGGAAAGGAACTTGACCTTACCCGAAGTCTGATTTTATGATAATATGATAATATGGTGGTTTATGTATTTATATAAAGTACCTATATTTTACCTTTTTACCAAAATTTCTATTTGCTATAATTGGAAATATAATTGGAAATATTTCAAGTTTCAATAAACACGTATTTGCTAATGTGAACGCTTTTTATCCTCATAAATATATCAAGTCAATAAAAATAGAATAAGGAAAAAGTTGACAGTCTTCTTGGAACTATTATACATTGGATCAATATATTATATATTTATATACATAACAATCTTTCTTTCTTTCTTTTTAGTAAAACGTATGGTGGGGGCAGTTTACAAACATAAATTACCGCGTTCGGTGAGGTTAACATAATAATTGATTTTGGTATGTAAAGAATTTAATTGGGGTAATTAAGTAAGTTTCTATCATATTTTACAATGTGATTATTGACAACTTTGATTAATAAAAAGTATGTAAGTGTAATAATGTAAAAAAACAAAAAAAAGCAAGCAGACTCGTAACTTGAGTGTTTCTAAAAATTTAATTATGTACCTATGTAGATAGTTCATCCATCCCCCGAATCGACAGCCTCGACGAGATTAGCCTGATACACGCATGTCGTAAATTAACAAAGATAATATTCACTTATTACATATTAACTGTTAATAAATAAATATTATCTTTATGTACTAATCCGTATCACAGTGTAAGCAGTCATATAAGTACTTACTTTCACAAAAATAAATAACTTATTGATATTTATAAATTATTATCTATAATATATAAATTTCAATTACTTATCTAGAACCAAACAATCATCTAACGAAAAAGTTAGACGAATTAAATGAAAAACTTGAACTTGCAGTAGAAAACAGGTTCTAAATTATTTATAAGAGAAAAAACGGTCTATATCTCTTTCTTAATTTTTGTACTTTCATAAATGTCAGAGGTTTGTTTTATTTATTTTTATTCTAAACTTTACATCATATAACTAATAGTATAGATATAAACATTAACCTTTACATATTTCGTACAAATGTAAATGTAAAGGTTAATGTTTATATGTGTAATGAACTTCACCACTATGAAATCTGTCAAATATTACACCTTATTTTTAAGTGACGCCACTCTGGTGGCAGAAAAAGTCGTGGATACCCTCATTACAGAGGAGTGTAAAAAAGGGTGATAATATATCGCCGAGCCTCTTCACCGCTGCATTTAAAGACGTTTTCAAGCTATTGGACTGGAATAGATAGGGTTTCTTTAATGGCGAATACGTCACTTACCTTCGGTTTGCCGTCGATTTAGTCATTATGGTGGAATCCCCGAAGGACCTTAGCACCATAATTAAAGACCTCAGTAGCGTTTACTTAAGAGTAGGTCTTAAGATGAACATGGACAGGAACCGGTAGTTGTTGGGAACGCTACGCTCGATTTTCCATGCAGTGAAGTTTCAGTCCCTAGAAGATATTAGGTAGTAGGATACTTTTTTATTACCTATTTCTGCTACATAGCAGTAATTGTATTGCTGTGTTCTGGTCTGTAGGGTGAAGAGAGCCAGTATAATAACAGACTGTGAGTTCCATCGTAGTCCTCAGGGTTTGCAATGTTCACATTTGTATGAAATAGACTGTAGGTGTTCATGGACTGCTGTAGTCACCTAATCAGTTGGCCTGTAAGCCCATTTTTCACTACACACACAAAAAAGGAGAAATGGTCGATATAAATGACAACATGTGATTCTCGAGTAAGTATAATTATGAACAGATAGAAAGAAGGACGTTGCTATTTTATAATATGTAAGAATAATAAATTTCCGAGTTCTTGAGTGGGATTCTACGTGCCTAGCCACTTTGACGACCTTTCACTCCAGTAGTACTACGTTTAAAGTCGCGGAGCCATTAAAAGTGGCTGTACTGTCAAATGGCGCGATATGAGTCTCAGAGAGATGACTACATATTTGTGAAATTAGCTTTAGAAACTACCGGTCCGTAGGTTCACGTGTGGTAAAGTTGGTAGAGGTAGTGCGTCCGCGACTTGGCGTTGCCGCTAATGATAAGAAGATTGGTTCTTTTCTCGCTCAAAGCCATTCAGAAAGGAAATGCAGCCAGCGTTTTTGATATTGTACCTACTGCGGATAATAAGACTGTATAATAAGTTGTAGTTTTTTATGATGATAATAAATATTTCATATTTGCACAAGTTCAGGGTGTTGGTAATAGTTGGTGTCTCTTTTAGGGTTAAGGTAACCAGCATTACCAGGGTAAACCAGTATTAAGGTAACAGATTCTAAATTAACACAGTTCTACGAAATTAAATGTCAAAATGAAGCAAGTGATTATATTTTCTTTGCCTCTACTAATTACGTTTTCTTATAGATTTACTAGCTGTTTTCCACGACTTCACCCGCGTGAAATTTAATACGAATTTATTGCGTGGAACCCTGTATCTTTTTCTAAAATAAAATTAGCCTAAGATACTCCTTATAACATCAGCTATCTGCCAGTGAGGGTCCCGTCAAAATCGATCCAGCTACTTCTCAGATTAGCCGGAATAAATAAGCAGATAGACAGACAGATAGATAAACATTTTTAAAATATTTATTTTTGTTTTACGTACCGTATTTAGTAAAAAGCTGTTTGATATTTGTTTGACATTACAAACATTTTACGTGGTAGAGCCATGCTGCAGTTATATTAATAGTAGGTATAGCTGTAGCACGATTGGGTCGGCTCACACCACGCTCTCACAGAATACCAGCGTCAAATAGTAGCTTAATGCTGCTGTGTTTCGTATGGTGAGTAGAGAACCGGAGACGCTTTTTACTGGAAACGAGGCATTCCACCTAAGTCCTCACGGGTGACAACGCATCTACATTTTGTTTCGTAATTGAGGACAGATGTAGATGTCTCTGGGCCACAGCAAACACTTACCATCAGGTGGACTGTGGGCTCGTTTGTCACCCTATTCTATAAAAAAAGCCACTTCAATTTTTTATTTGTATTGATATACCTACATTGCGAGCCGTGTTTTATTATCCTAGATTAGGTTTGTAGGATTAGCTTTACGCATAAAAAATAAGACATGAATTAATTACGAAAATGAGACCCAATATTCTGTTCAATGTGTTTTAATAAGAACATAGTTTATATACAGTAGTTATGCCTTTGGACGTGTTTATTATTGTACTTCTTTGGTGTTATTTTGACTTTCCGAAGCTCCTTCAACAGTGACGCCACATTTTGCCACATTATACGATGAAAGGTCGTAGAAAGTCAGGAAAAATCTGTAATTTTTAATATAATTTTCACTTTATTACTAAGCTAGGATTAGTTATACATTAAATACAGCCTATGTCAAAATATGAAAGTCATTGTATTAATTCGCAAAAAATAGGTTTTATTCATAGAAGTATGCAGGCACGTCTATAAAATACCGCTTAGGTCAGGAGTAAAAAGGTTTAACTTTAACAAAGCGTCGTATCGTTGGTATAGTGTGTGTTTCAACTGTCCTGGCCAAAATGGCCGCTTTGGCGCATACTGTCCAACCCTAAACGAGTGATTTATTGCCTACGTAGCGCGTGTTATTAAAATGCCAATATCTTAATAATTATGTATGGAAACTATAAAATAGTATGTTGTTATAATTAATGTTAAGTAAGCTAATAGAATATGTGTAAATGTGTACGTTCACCTATTTTATATTTCCTAAATTTCATGGTAAAAATGCTAGAAGGGATTTTGTCCAGTTTGTTGAATAAAAATGATAAATAAATAACAATTATTTCAATAAATATTTATTTTATTTACAATAAGATAATACACTACAATAATTAATAAAAAAAACACAACTAAGGGCCACTTAAGATGATCCGAAATAGGCACAAAAAGGCACATTTTGTAATCCAATAGCGACAATTTCAAACCGAGATAAGTAGGTTAATGATATTAAAACAATGTTGTACGAGTTAGATGGAGATACGTATACTGCGTTATTATTACTACGTTTAATCAAATAAAGAGTGATTGAGAAGTGATTTCTAAGTGTCTTGGCACACTATGTATAAAGATTCTTTCGGGAAAACTTAGCGTGACTTCAATCCAAACTCGGATGTAGAGGGATGGTGTAATGTAGTAAAAATTATTGCACAAAATAAACGCTTACATAGAAAATAAATTGATTTGTTAATGGCATTAACAATCGCTTTAAAAATCATGCAGCTAATTGTCTTAACGACCTTAAGTTTACTGAAATGGCATGCCCCTTAGTTAAGAAACCAGAATTAAGGAAACAGCATCTGGAATTGATCTTCCCTTATGATCCCTCATTGAGTAAAGCCCTAAAATAATCATGCCTGATGAGATAATTACTGGATTTGTTATTTCAGTTTTATGTTAAATAGCATAGGTACCAGCACACGGTAATGGAGAATCCTCACTGAGCACTCACGCCCAAGCTACCCTCCTCTTCCTGAGCGTGGGTACTCAAGCTGCCCGCGTTTTCTGGAGGAGAGGGGAGGAGCCAATTCCCACTCATTACTAGCTTTAAAATCATGGCGACTTCTGTTACGCTAGCCGTGGACTTCTGCACCATCAGCGACTTCACTTAAACCTTAATGCCATCCACTACCATCTGGAGACGTCAACCTTGCTCTTTTTGACCGAGACGCAGGTGTCCTCCTCGGCTGATACTTCGTACCTGTCCTACCCGGGGTAAAATTAGGTCACTGCTTTGTGCCCCGGGCTGGAGTATGCGTATACGTCAGAGAGGATATCTGTTCATGACGCCTTGGAACTCTTAAAGGTACGGACCTGTCTAATCTTTGGCTGCGCGTAGACAGCGATAAAAATCCAGTCTAGAGGTGCTGTATAGGTCCCACAGCAGTAATGCCGACACAGCCCGACACATCGACCACGTCAAAATGGCTACCTTGCTCCAACGGTATGGTCTGAGACAACTGTTGAGGATTATACATCTTCCTTGTTCTTCTGCCGATCTCTCATTTATTTATTTATTTTTGTGAATTTCCAACTGTTGTACATATTACTTACATCTAACACATGCCTCACACCTACAAATAACTATGTACTGCCAATTATAGGAGAGCACATCATTCTATAACAATAACAGTGTTTATAACTTACGTAGAGACAGGTTCGATTTTTCTAAATGACCGCCAGAAGATAACCCAATATCACAGCGATGCAACTACTACGAAGGCTCCAGGAGGACCACCAGGTGCTGGTAAGCCACTAAACCGTGCGAAGGAAATTGCATTAAGTTCATCTTCATGCTCGGAGACCGCTACATTTTGCAACGTGTCAATTGCGGTCGGCAACTTTCGTGCGCTCGGGAGCATTTACCATGGAGTGACGAACAACGATCCTTGGTGGTTCACCTATGACTCCGGTTTGAATTTCACTCGGATTCACGAAGAATACGCATTTGGAGCACTCCAGGGAAACAGCTACGGTACCCTCCGAAGGTCCAATCATATCGAGGCAGGACAATCATGGTATGGGCAGACGAACCTAACTCGTTTGGATACCTACAAGACATCATGACTGCACAAAAATATCACGAATAGTTAATCACGGGCCAGAAATTTCTACTCATGCACCATAATGCGTGAGTAGAAATATCCCATATCCCATTCCCGATTGAATTTTTGTTAGGGTGTTATAGACACTGGAAAAGTGCGCTGCGAATAAGTTACAAGTTTCTTTTAGTTCATTTTATTGTTTGTCTCCTAAATACATTAAAGGCGGGTATCCAGAAGAATTTGTACCTACTTCGTGTTCTAGAGTAGATATGTATTTGTCATATTATGTTTCTATAAGTTTTTCACAGTCGTGACGGAGGTATTGGAATTCAGAATTCAAAGAATGAATAATAGGTCTAAGGGATTGGATTATTATAGATCTTGTACTCTGTATAAAACTTCTTGTTTTGCCTTAACAGACATATCAAATAGTTAATGCCTGATACATAGTGAGTTACCACCAGCGTCATCTAGTATCGAGTAGCAGAACTAGGAGAGCTTTCTAGAAAATTACATACTAGAACTTTCTACACCTAGTCAGTCGGGACCGGTGTACTCCATGTACTCGAACATTATAGATGTTTACGGCCCTATACACAAGGCCGGTAACGGTACAGAGGCAGTATTGAATTGGCGATTGGTGTTATTAGTGTGTTTTAAGTTGTCATTGGTGTTCGGTAATTACAGTGTCAATTTGGGTAATTCAATCGGCAGTTTTTAATTGTCACGAACCCCAAGCTCGTAACAGTACTACGAGGGCGGCACTGAAAATTTCGGGAATCAAGGAAGTGACACAACATTACTACTTAAAAATATATTTATTGCTTTTCGAAGTATTCTCCGCGAAATTTGACACATATTTCCATACGATGCAACCAATCATTGAAGCAACCATTCCATTCGGAAGTTGGGGTCTCCAAAATGGCCGTTTTGCAGGCGTCCACAGCTTCTTCAGGTGATGAAAATCTCTGTCCACGCAATTTATTCTTTATTTTAGGGAAAGTATAGAAATCATTAGGGCTTAGGTCGGGGCTGTACGGTGGATGGTCTAATAATTCTATGTTTTCTTGCTCTAAAAACTCTTTTGTTCTGTGCGCGGTGTGAGAACTCGCATTGTCATGATGGAGGATTATGCGGCGGTTGCAGTTCTCTTTACGGGGTTCAGAAACGACCTGTGGCAAACAAATGCTAGCATACTATTTTGCATTAACCGTTATTTGTCCCTCAAGAGGAATAGTCGTAACATGGCCGGTTTTGGAGACAAACGTGGCCACCATTTTTTTTTGCCACACTCCGTGAACGAACAATTTTTGGTGGCTTTAACTCATTTTCGAACACCCAAACTCGTGACTGGTTTTTTGTTTCGAGTTCGTATGCATATATCCAGGATTCGTCACCTAATACGATGTTGTATACAGCATATGATGATCCTGCGTGGAATCTTTCGAGAGTTCTGACGCACCAAGTAACGCGAGTTGCTTTTTGCTCTTCACAGAGCGAATGCGGTATCCATCGGGAAAACAACTTTTTTACACCTGATTGTTCATGCAAGATTATTTTGTCAATGCCAATGTCTAAAGTTGTCTGAATATCGCAGTGTCACATGTCGATCTTCCTCAATAAGCTTACGCACAGCATCAACGTTTTCTTGGGTGACTGCAGTTTTTGGACGACCTTGACGGGGATCATCACTGAGCTTGACACGTCCACGTTGAAATTCAGCAAACCAGCGATAAATAGTGGTTTACGATGGGGCTTCATCACCAAATGCAGAAATCATCCGGTCAACACACTGTTTTTGTGTTAAACCACTTCGAAAGTCATAGTAGATCATCGCTCTTGAATTTTCTCGAGTCAATTCCATTTTCTCAACGACTAAACAAGTTTGACAAAACCTTGTGACAAGACCGAGAATCTTTTTTTAAATAAATAAATGGTATTCGATTTTTAAAACCAAGGAGTTTTTAATTAAAAAGATTTTAATATGACAGGAACAGTGGAAATATTCCATTCCCGATACTTTTAGTGCAGCCTAGTATACCGGACGCCTATTGCCACAACTTTTACTTTTATTTACGTAAAAAATTGTTATTTTATAAAGTATTAGGTAGAATTTATTAATCATGTCGTTAATATTATCATATTTTAAAAGTTCATCCATACACGAGATTTCGTCCAGGGCTTTAGTTATCTGATCGTAATCGCCTTTAAAATAGTTATTTTTTAGTAATTTCAGATGATAAGATTAAAAACTAGATGGAATTGCAATAGAAATCTCTAATGGTGGGTGGTGATTATCACCATTCCGTAAAGGGTTGGAACATTGATTAATTTTTACCATTTTAGAGTTATACCCCCCAATGAATAAATACACAAACAGACGGCCCCCAGTCCCCGGCGGCCCCGCTATTCCTGGCTACGGTGGCGACCATGGTAACGGCGGGGCAGGGGGTGCTAAGAATCTCCGGTGGAGGTTCGGTTGCCACCTACGACGACTCGACCTGGCAACATATAACGCACGCACCCTGAGGACTGACGAGAAGATACTGGAGCTGGAAGAAGAGGTAGACAAGTTGCGCTGGCATATTATTGGATTATCCGAGGTCCGAAGAGAGGGGGAGGACACGGCAATCCTCGAGTCCGGCAACTTGTTCTATCACCGGGAGGGCGACCATCTGTCCCAAGGAGGTGTCGGATTTATCGTCCACAAATCTCTCGTCAACAACGTTGTAAAGATTGGGAGT